TATAGTGGAGGTTTACTTAGCAATTTGAGCTTGGTCAAATCTCTTTTCCCGGCCTCGACTCATCAATCTCTACCAGTTGTTCCTTCATAGCTTGACGGACGGATAATACAACCTCGAATGGAATACTCATTTCCACCTGATCAGCACGGATCAGGAGACCAAGTACAATGCTTAGGAACTGCTTTTGTACGCTTCCCTTCCTCAACCATTACATAAGGACTTCTTGTTCTGACCACTCAAACCCCTTCTTTGACCTTACTCTCCGCTTTGATAGAAATGTACAGAAACATCTACTTTCTTTGATCTAGCCAAAATCCACAGCTATTCTAACAATTCTCATATCTAGATAAAACTACAAAGGTTCAAACCTTTGTAAGGCTCTGGACCAATCTGAATTCACTCTATCACATATTTTTTTAGATCCCACTAACCTGGCCTAAGATACATTGATTATATAATAACATTTGGATAGGGATGCTGCTGCCTTTTTGAAGAACTTGTGCAATGCATCTTTTTACATTTTTATAACATAAAAATCTGAAAAAGAAAATTACTTCAAACATTCTCTGAAAGCTTAAATCTCTTATTTCATTATGACCTTAGAATGAAATTCTTGCGCATAAGTCATCATTTTTTCAACTTGTTTGTAAGAAACCTCTTTTGCCATTTTTTCTGTGAGAAAAACACAATATTGGACTTTCTTCTACTGCCCCAATGAAATATCTCTTTATATTGCACAAAGATTCAATTGAATTCTGTTTCTTTTTTCTCTGGACCCATTAGTTGACAACATATTTATCAACAAGGATCAAGTATGAGTGATGATCTTTGTTTCGACCGATATCCTAGACAAACAGCAAATATGAAATGCAGACAGTATTAAAAAACAGTCATGCCTCCAATTTATCCGTAACAAACAATAACGAGTTATCAATAAAGCAGACCCAAAATGAATAACAAAAAACCAATATATGTTTTTTTTTCAGAAACAATTGACAGTTGAGAGAGGATGAAAACTGTTTTACATAAAATAATAAAGACAAGGAGTGTACGTGAAGAAGTTGATAATGCAGTCAATAATATATTCATCTAGAGAGAAATTGATTACAATTTTATCATCCTGGTGCATTCCTTCACCACCAGGACATACGGCGTAGTCATCTTGCTCTTCCATAAGTGAATGAGCAAAGACAGAAGGATCCGCTAATTCGCATGTCCAAAGATCGGAGACATGGAGGAATACAGAAAATGAGAGGATGTGAAATAGTTAAGATCAAACTATACATGATGAAGAAATGGAAAGAAATTAGTACGCAACTCATAAGAATGGAAGAGAAGAAGTGCTCACCTTAGTTCGATGGAACAAAGCCTATGAGGTCTTCATCTACATTCAACGCACAAAATCGAGCTGTAATTGAAATCAAGCAAAATCAAACAAATCAGTAAATGATCAAATGAGAAGAGGAAGGGAAAGACAAGGAGAAGGAGAAGGAGACATACATGGTGAAGAGGTACTGTCTGAGAGGTCAAATAGAACAAAGGGCCTCGATACTTCGACTTCAGATGATTCAGAGACCTCGAATAATTGAATCGGGGGTACATATTCTCTAAGACGAGGTTCATAGATAGTACGAAGAAAGTCGGGGTCCTGTTTGGGAAAAGGTGGTGGTAGGTTGGTCAAAGGAGGTTCAGTAGGACGAGTAACGTTGATCAAAGGAGCCCATAGACAAGCAATAGGTGGAGAGATCGCAGGATGAAATCTATGAAGAGGAATGTCGAAATCTTGGTTAAGAGAGCGACGATTCATCATCCAAGATAAGAGTCTGATGAAGGAAGAGTAGAGAAAGTAGAGAATGGGAAAGGTGAAGATGGTAAAGATAATATCGAAGATGAAGACGGTGAAAAAGTTTGTGACAGGGTGAAGTTCAAGATGACCAAAGTTTAATAAGATCATGTGAAGACAGACGGAAACTGTAAAATAGACTGGAAAAGCGCGAAGACTATCATGAAAGGAGATCTTGTTAAACTGGGGGAGAGGCATGACTGGAATCAGAGAAGTTGGTTAAGCTAGATCGGAAGTGAAAGGTAAGGAAAGGTTGAAGGGGGATTTGTGGAATGGAATCGGAAGCTGGTGGTACGGGTGATGAAGTGAAATTCGGATCGCTCTGAAAAATGAACGGTATTTGTATGGCTCAGATACTGAGTTGCCGGATCAGCTTCAAGGCGCGTCACGTGAGTCATTATCTTTGTTTGGATCATAAAGCTGATATACACGCGAAAAAATACAGATGTACTGATTGACGCGAGCTGTTCAGTCCATGTCGGATAGAGAGATAACAATATAGTTGCCCCTTCTCTACCTCAAATGTTGATACCCACCTCCAGCTTGCTTTAATCCACTCTATTGATGTATTTTGATAATTCAAACTCTTCGAGTTCAGAGATTGAATAACAGGCTTTGCTCAAGCCCGAATGGATTATTTGACTAACGTTTCCATTGACTCATATGGATCGTGTACCTTTCATAATACTGCGATGACAATTGACCGAGCGTTCTAGTACTACCTGCCTCTGCCTGCAGCTGGGACTTTTCTGGCGACTCTCTCGAGGAAAGACATACAAAGGTATATTTCTCTCTCAATCTTCAAACTCAACTCACGTTCTGATCATCAAAATCATCTCCAATTTTCACACGTCTGACAGCTTTTCGTTGATTTCTCAAAGACCTAATTAAATGTCGCGTAGCTAGGCTCAAAATCTATGCTATTTTCTGCTTTTTTGATGCTTCTCATTCATATCATAGAACGCACTTTATTCAGCTTTATATTCACGAGGAGATTCACCGAACTATTCACAATAGCAGATCGCGCCAAAAGCACGATGCCTTTTACTTCGGCAAGGCTTAAGCTTCTTGGCAGTAAATGGTTCCTATCCGGGATCCCCTTGCTTGATCGCTATAATTCTCTGTATACTTTCTCTGATAAACAAATGATGAAAACCCAACCATACAGGTGAGAAAGTGTGCATGTGTAGCTATTGAGACTGCCGACTTGGTGATCAGATGGCTGGCCCTGAAGCATTCCACAGTAACAGGGAGTTGGGATCGACAGGTGTAAGGAGTTGTTTATTGGAGTATAAAAATGAATACACCTCGCTTTCACTGAGAATTGGTCATCTTACTTGGTTTGTACATGATTCTCGGTCAAACTTATCATTCAAGAGCATTCAAGACCACATTACAAAAACAACACGTGCGGATGCAGGAAAGAATTTGCTTATTGTAGTTATATATATATTTATATATGAATTTCATATCCAAGTCGCCGAACACAATTGGATTCCTCACATTCACTATCTCCTCTTATCAGCCAGAGAAGCTTTGATCGTTGATTGGAGGCATCATATAATTTTCAGAACGGATCGATCCATCTAACAGTAGAGAAATAGGTATGATGGACATGAGAGATTTGCTCATTATCAAGATACGACTGTCTCGCATCCGACCCCACCAAGAACCCATAAGAGATAATCCTGTTTTTAATAACTGGAAAGGATGGAGAGGTCCTAAACATCAAGGTACTTAGGTTTTCTTGGTTTTCTGTCACGTTGCGAGCCGTTCCATACCAATTGAGTAGCTTGAATAGATGAATTTTTTGACAAGGAATGTTATCGATAAGATCTAACAAATTCCTCAACGAGAAATAAACTCACAAAGCTTTTCTTGACAACTGAAGACTTTCTTATCAAACTTTTTGGATTTGATAGTCTGATATTGTGTTTTGAAGAAAAAACTGATAAAGTCTTAAAATCCTCAATCTTAGTTTGAAGGTCTACTTTGAACAAAAACTGGGAAAAACATGTATGTCTTAAAAGAGTTTCCCATTATTTTGGAGAAATTTAGGATTCGTGGGATTTTCTGAGGTTCTGAGTGGGAGTTTCGTGTGGCAGTTTTGATGGTGTAAAAATCGGTTATATCCTCAAGGCTAATCAACTGCATACTATCGATATGATCTCAGAGTCCAGTCCGGTATCTCACATTTATACCAAACATCCAAACTGAGACTGGAAGAGGAAGTTCTGGGGACTGATCCTTCAGATTTACTTCAAGCTCAACACTTCAGTTTACTGAACACGCTGTTGATGAAGTAGTATCATTTCTACAAGCAGCTCAGCGAGCCTAGTAACACAAAATCGGCTTTTTTTGATTAGATTCACGAGTCAAGATAATTGAGATCACTGTGATCTTCTCGTCTCAAAAAATCCAAAAAAAAGCAAGAAATTCCAAAGCTTCACCATTTGCCTTGACCCGGAATGGTCACATATTGTATTTGGGTACAGCTCAGTCATTGATCAAAGAAGTATAGGTCTCGCGGGATCGAGAATCCTAGTGATCGTTGCTTGTAAAAAATTGTTCAGTTGAGGTGGCTGGTTTGTGAGTTTCGACTGGAATATCTTGGACCGAGTCGCTCATTCTCCGGAATATCTGCATCTATCCGATTAACATATGATTGAACAAATCTCAGCCCTACGCTAGATGAGTGGTATGATTTGTTAGTTGCCCTCTCTCATTGACAAGGTACACGAGTCTAAGAGGAAGCAAAGGATTTTCCGCTCAGATTTCCGATCACACGGAGTCCGAAATCTGTTTGCTTTCAACTTGGAGCTTTATTCGTATTGATACGCATTCAGGGGTGCTCATCCCATGGAAAGAATGCAATCTGCGATCAAGAGTAGTATGAATTAAGCGAAAGTTGATTGATCGCCTTAAGCTGAACGTCACAGCTCTTCATTCAAATCCTTCCATCTTCTCTTGGGATGCGTTTCACGGGTATACGTCATTGAAGATGGGTAATGATTTGATTTGCTATAAAAACTGCATGGATTGAGGCCACTCGAGATGTTATGGATTGTTTAAATGAGAGATAATCATATAGTAAGGGGTTCGTTCAACTTGAGAAGTACTCCTGAATCTAAAATACCAAAAGGGTCAAAGGATCCAGATGAATGTTAAAATTGGAATGTTTGTTGATTGAGTTTCAAGCAACCCCTTAACGTCGACTGTCAGTCTTGAGTAAGTAGTACTTAAGCTTTTGATCAATCATTCAGTAGACTAGCACTTCATCAACCAGCCAATCAATCAAACAAGTAAGATGCCAAAATCAAATCAAACCACCAATTCACTCAAAACCTGGTGTCTCAACGGGTGGTTCATTTCAAGCTTGTAAGTTGATAGACTCAATCAACTCCTTGTTCCATAATTAATACACTGACCCAATCTCTTTCATGGTGAGTTCAGTGGCAGTCGAATCAATCCAATCAGATTCAGAAAGCGATTCACAAACCAATTCGATCATTCCATCACATCGAACACCTTCTACTGCCATCTCAACTTCAACTAAAAAGTGACGCGCCAAACAACGTGCTCGTGATCGAGCTCTTAAATCAGCTGGTACCTCTACTTTATCTGATCCAACTGAATGTAAGTCAACTATGTATCACCCTTTTCTTCTTCACAATTCTACTCACTCACACACACCTATCTCATGCAATCATCACTAAACCTCTCGATCGATTCTTCAATCAAAGCAGTCGGGAACAATAACAGTCTTAATAGGATCCTTCTTTCATTCGATCTCACCAGAAGACCTACAACTAATCAAAACTGTTTTAATTGTTTTCAATGCAAATGGAAAGATCATTGGAATCGAAAAAGAAACCTTAACAAATCAAGAATGGAATTGAAAAGATGATGTGATTCAAAGTTTATTGAAAAAGAATTGGATTCAAAAGAGGAAGTTAATCGATTGAGATTCATTAGATTGAGAAATGGAGAAATTCTTTTACCTGGTTTTATTGATACTCATACTCGTGAGTTCTTGTTTGATTTCGTTTCTGGTATTTTTATGGGGTTTGGGAAGGTTTGCTTGGATCTTTAATGAGATTGATTCGAGGTTTTTAGATGCTGTACAGTATACGAATGTGGGAGTTGGACAACAATATGAATGTGAGGATCCAATCCGAAAGCTTTCATACCCATTCAAACCCTTAAAACTCATTGAATTCTAACTCATAACTTTATTTGATGACGGTTTGGTACTTGATTGGCTTAAGAATGTGACCTTTTTAGAAGAAACAATATTCATCTAATGGTTATTCACAAAGGATTTTTGAAAAAGCTGTGAAGAGATTATTAAATTCAGTCAACGTGCATTTATTGGAAAATGTAATGTAAGTTGAACCGAAAAACCCAGAAAAATTGGTTTGTTTAAGCATGATGGTTAATTTGATATGTTGTTTTTGGTCGTAGATGGATCGGAATGAAACATTTGAAGTTATAAGGAAAATTCAGTGGAGGATTCTATAAAAGATCATGGGATTGGAGTCTTGAGTTGTATAAGAGATGGAATGATTGCTACTAAAGCTTTAGGTTTCCATCATCATCATCATCATCATCATCATCATCATCATCATGCTTTAAAAGAAACTCATGGGATTCAAAATAGTACTTTCGATTAAGAATTTGTTTTATTTGGCTACTTTAGGTGGTGCAAGAGTTTGTAATCTTGAAGAACGAATTGGTAACTTTGGAGCTGGTAAAGAGTTTGGCGGGATTATTGTTCACGCCGGAGTTTCCTTTGATGTGATTGAAAAGGTTGAAGATGATGAATTCATTCGATTTGGATTTGAAGAGTATCAGGATCGTTGTAATCCGAATTTTTTTATTGATGAATTTGAAAAAGAAATTCAATTGAATGATTTGTTTGAAAAATTCTTGTTTACTGTTTGTAACTTCTTTCATATTTGATTTTGATTTGAATGATTTAATGATACTGATCTGGTTTTGTGTTTTGGGTGGTTTTTTGATTAACTTTTTAGGGTGATGATCGAAATATTGCAAGTGTAACTGTTAAAGGAAAAATCCTAGGCGGTGCAAGAAAAAGTTTGTTTTAAGAATGATTGTTTTGATTTTTCAGTCCTCACTTTTTCTTTTTTTTTCTCTCTCTCTTTAAAAATTGACCTTTGAATTTGAGATTGATTGTAAGATGGACATGGATTGTTTTTTTTTCTTTTCTGTTATTATGGTTACTTAATTTGTAAGGTTTCTTTAGAATTTAATCAATATGTAATTACTTGAAACTCAAAATCAGAGCATGGAGAGTGATATGTATCAAATGGACAAACATTTATAGCATTTTTTCCAAGTGTTTTGTTGTATATCATTGTAAGTAAAACAAACTTGGACTAATAATGTAAGAATTGCTATAGATTCTCTATGAGATCTTACCAAGAATATCCTGCAGCACAAGAAGAGGGTTGACTTTGGTACTTTTGCATAAATCTTGTGCACCTATGAGACAGCGTAGGAGCTGATATTGTGTGTGTGTGGTTCAGCTGCAGTTGCGGTTTGCCCTGTTAGAAGGTCCGCACCAAGACTAACCTACTGCAGTGCCACAGTACACACACTTCCCTCAAGGAGTTCTGTTCACTCACTGGCTGAGTTTCTCCATTCCCTCACTTGCTGTGATTGTTATGGGATGGACTCCAAGAGCTGAGGCCCCACTCTGAGGCCTATAGCTATTTGGTAAGACTCAGTGAGTGCTGAAAAAATCACCCAAGTGCCCTCTTATTTTTTTAAGTGTGTAAGGCTTTATTGCATGGAGCACTAAACAATTTAATATGAATAAAAGGGACCAGTATACCTTAGAGCCCAGATAGTGCCCTCTTTACAATAGTCAAGAGGGCAAGTACGAGGGGGTGAAGGCCCCAGCCCAAGGCTCTTGGTTTCCCAAACCCAAAGGCAGCCTCCGCCTGTGTCCTCCAGGGTTGCTGGGTGGGATCGTTGAATGCATTCTGTTGGGTGGGTGGGGGGTGCACAAAAAATTGATCACCAATGTGATTGTGGGAAATTCTTGCGGAAAGATCTTGATTTGTGTGAGATGGATTGGCTGAAGGGAAATTCTCAAGTGGTGGCGCAGTATCCTCCTGATACTGGCGTTGAGGTTTCACTGGTCCAACTGTCACAAATCTTTGCAAGATTTCATGGACAATGGAACCCTGTGTTATGGTGGTTCCTCTCATCCATTCCCTCACTTGCTTGGCCCGAGGCTCTTGGTTTCCTGAAACCAAGTTTGGTTTTCCAAAACCAAAGGCAGCCTTGGCCGGTGTCCTCCCTGGACCCACCCGCCCTCCCGGGTGTGATGACCCGCCAAGAGCTTCCAGTGTGCCTGCCTCCCATCACTCAGACGCTTGACAAACGTTCTGAGCCCCAGGCACACCCCGCCCACCTGAGCACTTAGGTAAGTACCTAATACTATTAGGGCATAAGGACGTACCTATCACCCAATGGTATTCGACCCTCAACCGCTAAGATGAAGTTGCATCTTAGGATGCATCTTCAAGAGATCTTGAAATGGCTAAGTCATTATACCCTTAAGGGACACACACAACCCACCCGACAACCCGCTCACAACTCGACACGCCTTCAAAAAATCATCCCACCCTTGAAAAGAACTCAACCACCGTATCATGAAACTCCACCCTGCCTATAATCAAATCACACCGCACCTCACACCACAAGTACTACCCTACCCGTTTGGCTCAAACCTACCCTCCTCAATTTTCTCCACACCACCACCCTATCAAATCTACCCACTCAAACGCAACCACGTCGACCCATGCGCAGCCACTCGAACCCTACTATACACAGCCATCCAAACCCACCGTCTCACAATTTTCATCCACCCATACATAAGGGGCTCTCAAACCTGACCTGGTTTCAAAAAACCCAG